ACCGGGTGTAGGGTCGAATAAATCCACTAATAATCTTCTTTATTTCATTTCATTGTCCCAACGATTTCGGTGTGACATTGCAATCAAACACTAGTAATAATTTATACTCATTTCATTACTACTGTTGCTGCTGACGTGGGTGGGGTTACTACCGCGTATACGCGCGTGCTTTGCTTAATCATTGTACTCGCGTTTTGCCTTCATTGCAGCAACTCTTCTTCATATTTACATATTTGTTAGTTAGTTCTATTTAATGCTATTTATATATGATAATGTAGTTCTTTAGTTATTTTGTATTCAAGATTTGTGATTATACAATTCTAGTATGTATTAGTAACAATATCTTTCATGGAATTGTGTAATTTATATGATAATACGAATTCTAGTATTCGATTCTTGGAAGAGTTAGCCCCGTAATCACACCGACGAGGATCGAAAATACACAAGTGACGAAAAAAAGCGTATATTAACAACGATAACGCAAAATTTATATCAATATCATGGTTTTAAACACGTGTAGCATCCAAAATTTTCCCACTTTAGTAACAAAAATCGGGAAACATCAGCATGCACAAGTGAGGAAAAAACACAAATTAACAATAATGCGAAAAATTACACCGATATCACAGTTTTAAACTCGTAGAGTCTCTAAAAAAATCCCACTTTAGTAACGAGAATCTCGATTAAGGACAACATCACGTAATGAAACTAAAAGTTACGAAGTAGTACAAAATCAATAGGTTTGAGGATAGAGTAGAATACACAAGTGAACAACATTAACACAAAAAAATTGTTCCCATGTTAAAACTCGTATATACTCCAAAAAATTCCCAAATTAGCAACGAAAAAATCGATCGAGGACAACATTCGATCACATAACGAAACTAAAAGTTAGCAATTACTATAAAATTGAATATGTTCGAACACGATGTCATATCTAGGCAGTGGCACTGATTTTGTACAATGTAATACGCGTGGGGCCGACTTCGAGCTGCACATACATGGCACCGCACCATTGCGGCGAATCGGGCGTGGTTTCTTGGTTCACAATGCAGTGCCAGTATTGACCAAATACACGTTCGAATTGAGCCTGCATTTGTGCGGCAATTTCACCATCTGAATTGTACAATCTTGTGACCTTGCAATCAAGAAAAATCGAGACAAATGAGATAGAGATAATAAATACTAAATAGATTGCAAAATTAAACCAATATATATATATATATATATATATATATATATATATATATATGATCATACAGAAATAACATGGCTTCTACAATAAGTGGAACTTGAACACTATAACTTAATTATACGATTTTACACCTTTCTGAAGTGACAATCGAAACATAATCATCGATTTTAAAGTATTCATGTATATAAAAAAACTAGAATTAACTGTAAATAAAAAAGATAATTCAGACATTCGTTTAAACAAGAGACGAAGGCTACACATTACATTACGGTAGGGTTAGGTTTTCGAAATTTGGATTACCAAACGCCTCAATCGCAGATTACGCCACAAAACAACGTGATCATATATACATTCAGAATACGACATTATTTAATTCAACATTAATAAAGCAGAGTACAATTCAATTCAACATTATTTTCTCGATTAATGACATAATTACGACAAATTAAACCGGTTTAGTGAAAATTCAGCAGTTGGCAAGAAATTTAGCTTCTATAATTCGAATAAGATATACTTAAATTCACGAAAAAAGTCGACATGTGAGAATTGCAACGGATAACAAAGAAAATCAGGAACGAAAAAAAAAGTTAGAAAGAATATGATGGAGATAATACCTGGTGAGCCAATTCCATGGCATACCTCAGCATGCTGACATTCATATGTACACATCTCCTAACCATGATATCACTGATATCGATATGCGGCCGCGCCGTCGCTGGCGGCGGAGGGGATTTGGTTGAGGGCGCCGGAGAACTCATACTCGGTGGCGATGCGAGAGGAGGAGGGAGGGTTTCGAATTGGGATTTAATTTATTTCTCAATTTTAAGTTGGTTATTATATTTGAATTAATTAAACTGTACGGATATTTATTTGTTTTTGTTATTGATGGGCTTTTGTATCCGGGGTTCAGTCGGGTCGGGTCCAGCATCTACGGCCCATGGGCCCAGATCTGAAGACAAGCCTTTTATTCCATGGAAAATACAAGTCTGCCCCTACATACAAAATGTCCGGAATACCCCTGAGGATGATATTTTTTTTGTTGTTGGAATCAATTAAATAGCATATTCAATTAATGATGAAGAAAAATTCTCTTATCATATACAATTATATACTAATTGTGCGTTCACGAGTATATATAATGCATTCCTCTCACGCAAATAGACTATACTATAATAGTACAGAATAAATTTCTCTTAGGGCCCCGTTTGGCTAATCTTATTTTAAACAGCTGATCAAATTGTCGATTGATTACTTGATTATATTGTCTATCTAGACAAATGTCATTCCCAAGCAAGGCATTTAAGAGTAAACTTCAAGTGGAATTATTAAATAACAAGAAAAGCGAATGAAATTTAAGAGGTTTATACAACATTTAACAACAATTGAATCAGTGATCTATTACAAAATGCGCGCACACAATTTATATATGAATATGGTAGCAACTTTCGAAGGAAAAAAAACGAAAAATAAACTATTGGAATTTTGACTAAAAAACCCCGTTAGTATCTGTAGTTTCTAATGTTGGAGCTGTTTAATTCTATCGTCGTGTTTGAGATGGCATGCCCTCTCGTTTAGCGAATCACAATTTTCCGAAAAAAATGTATTGAAAACGAAAAATAAAATTAATGCTAACTTGTAGGTACGGAGTTTGGAGTATTATCGTGTGGCTGGTTCGATATAGCCTGAAGAACCCCTGAGTAGAAGTCCCAAGACAAGTTAGTGTCGTTTATAGCACTTTGACCAAACGGGTGTTGCTCAACATATTTCTGTACATGTTCAGAATTCAACAATCCTTCCAAGTAAACTCGAAGATCGCCACCTGGGCCTGCATTGAAATTAGAGTTTCATTAGTTGAGTTATCGCCCTATAATTACAAAAACATCTGCTCTAAGTTCACTAAACTTAACTCTTCTAAATGATGACATTAAGTGAAAAAAATGGGAAGTTCCTATTTTAACCCCAACTCATTTGTTCTTATATGTTGCTGGGGGAAGGTATGAAACTCAGGGGTGCAGAAGTAATAATCAGGTATGTAAAAGGGGGAAAATACCGTCCATGGAAAATTTTACACAGAACTAGAGAGAAGAAGTAAACACCGTTCGACATTTTATATGTTGGGGCCAGGTAATCTTAACTGTTGCTACAGAAAACAGTGAAGGGTAGAAATGGAACACGTAGAAGTTATATAAATGAGAGGACTTCATATGAAAAAACAATTATATAAGAACATAATAATATCTAGAGAACCTTACCCAAGGAATTGTCGTCTTTATCCACATAATTATACGAATTCGGAAATATTGCCGTGTGCAACTGCAGGGTAGTTAGAAAAAAGCAGTTAATAAGCTAAAGAATGTAATGATGAGACATGATGAAACATAGTATACAGTGAGAATCTTAACTGGGTTGAGTAATGCTTTGTAAGGAGAATCGTCTAACAACAATGTGTTTGACTCGTCGTAATCTCCTTTCTTCCAGCGTACATCAGAATCATCATTTTCCCAAATTCTCCTGAGCTCCTTACACACCAAGGGCTTATGTATGTTTTCGAGAGTTTTGAACCCGGTTTGAGTACTATGATCCATATCCTGCATTACATTTTATACTTATGTATCATAGACTACTAAACTCGACTTGGGAATTAAAATCAATTAAAGTAAATAATAGAAAAAAAAACGGATATCAATAACTACAGGGCCATATAGAGCCAAACGGGGTTGAATAAACTCTAGGTGAGTCCTGCAAGTGTTAACTATATTTACTAGTGAACTATACGAGTTCGTACATTTCATCATCTTTACTACCCTATAGTAAATGTGAAATACAAGATAGCTGGACCAAAACAAGAAAATTGAGCTCGATTACTTAGATTAAATAAAATTCCTTTAGCACAAATAAACAAGCTGACGGATAATTACAAAATATATAGGTTTGATCCAAATATCCGAAGCACTACTCATAAAAGATAAACAGATCGTTGCAGAATGCTTACCCAACAAAAAAGCAACTGGTCTCTCAGATCTCCCAATAAATAATCGACAACTCTATCAATAATTCTCCTGCGTATCAAAAACACAATTTCCAAGATTAGCATGACAATTCGTAAAAAAGGGCCCAAGCAATCTGTAGAAAATTCATGAAAACATATTATGTATTTTGTGGCATACGCCAACATCAAGAATGCAGCATCAGAAGAAAAAAAAAAGTTCAAAGAAATTACTTGGATCTTGACGACCATACGCCCACATCAAAGTTCTGAAAGCAAAACTTGAGAAAATCATCACAAAACGGTCTCTTGAAAACTACAAAAGGAAAGTACAGATTTGGTCAGAATTGATACACTAATTTGAAATCTTAATAATTGAAATTGAAAAAAGCAATATCAAATCTCACTTGCGCGTCCTAATATATGCGTGTCTCCTCTAATATCTTTCGGGGCTGGCATTACAATGTTTGCAAGTAGACCATTTACATCAAGGACAATAAGCTTTCTCTTAACAGAAGCAATGGGTGCTATTATAGGATCTTGTCCTAAATCCTCCGATAAACATTCTGCTTCCTTCATCTCAGGAGAAGAAAGAGCTGTACTCATCTCAACATCGCAACTCCTGGATTCAGTTGAACATTTCACCCGATCAACAATCATTGCCTCGTTCACCTCATTCAACTCATTCTCAGAAATCGCATTCTCAACAGTGATCTGATTAGGGTTGGAACTATGTTGGCTATCTTCAACTAATTCGACCGGAACCTCGTTAGTTGAAACCACAACCATATCTGGTGATAAGATGGTCTCTTCATCTTTACACAAATTTAAAGGACTCTCCTTATCATGTACCGACTCTGATAAAGAAAGTTCGTTTCTTGCACAAGGTTCAGTTTCTTGATTTGTGCACTCTTTTTCAGCGAGCTTTCCCTCAATCCCTTGTCCATCTGATAAGTGCAAATCTAGCATGCCATCTTCTTGGTCTGTGCTTTGGATTTGTTTCCCTTTTTTTACGCTTCTCCTGATTCTTTTCCTCCTTTTTCTTTTCAAATTAACATTCCCTTCAGCGGGACTCTCTGTTGGTTCTGTTTTACTCTGGTCCATGCTCTGGATTTCGTTGTTAACCGTTGCTTTCATCTTCTTCTTTTTCCGCTTGTTTATCTTTTTCCTAGCCGGTTTCACTTCAGCGTCAATTTTAGGGCTTCCTGGCAGTGTTTGAATCGATAAACCTGTCTCAAGGTCATTCTTTTCGTCTCTTAATTTATCTGAAACTTCCATATTGACGTCCATTTTATCCATTATCTGTGTTCCTACTGTTACATATAGCCTTCTTCTTTAGCTCTGCTTTTCCTTCTACTTTTCAAATTGCTAAAAGAATTATCTCCAGGATTTTGAAGTAATTCTTTTTTCTCTAGATGATTATTGACGCCGGATATGACCTTGCAATACCTTCTTGGCCATCACTAGTTTCTACAACAATGAAATTTCGAATACATTAAGTTTCTGCCTTTTTGCATCGATTTCATAATTTACTTATCGAACCTGTATCATGAGAAATGGAAAACTAGAATGAAAAATTTGAAAAATAAAATCTAAATGGTACGGGAAGGCGACCGTCGAATAAAAAATCCCCCCATCGAAACCAGAGCCGAAAAAGTAAAATCATCTCGATATATCAAACAGATCTAAAAATCTCTAACCTCATACATAAAAATGCCAGATTTTTTGCCTAATAATAATCAATAAAATTCCATTTCCACTCAGATTCACCTGAATGACAGTTATACCCAACCCAATTCCATTTAGGCAAAACGAAAAACCTAGAATTCCTGCATCAACGAAACTCTCAGGCAAAACAATGCCAAAAACTAAACGAGAGGATTTATTAAACATGTACCTAATTGAGAAACAACTTCGATACAAATCAAACACAAAATCAATAATCAAAATCCGAAAGCAACGACGAAGAGCGAAATCCAGAAACAGAAATCAAAACCTCAGATTGACGGTTGATGCATACACAACTGTAAACGTATAGGTTTATTTACTGGTAAACACACACCAGTACACCTCTGGAAACACGCAGAGAGGGCTTACCTCACGGTGAAAAGTTTCGGATGAAGACGCCGGCAGCACGTAAGCGTTGAATTTGTGTAGACTTGTGCCCGGTGGCCTTCGATCCGAACCGGCGCACGTGAGGTATAATTTCTTCTTCGACTGTTCGTATGGTTCGCGCTATTCCAGAATAGCGACTTTTGTTGTTATTCATACTGCTGGTTCGCGCTACCAAGAAACGCGATTTTGTTTACAGCAAAATATTCAATTTTCTTTTTAATTTATTAAAATCATTTATTATATATGTATTGTCTACCAAACCACTAAGTTTACAATAATAAAATATAATTTTAAGGATAAAATTGTATTTTACTTCATTAGTAACCTCCTGTTAAATTAATCTCAGGGGAGGTGTGCTACTAATTTAATGAAATAGTAGCATTTAATAGTGGGCTTTAATTTTAGCAGCGGGTTCGAAAAAATGTGAATCTTGCCAACCGAACATGCTATTAGCCTCTACTATTTAGTCAATGGAACTTTATAGCGATCGAACGAGCCCTTAGTAATTTAATAAACGATTTATATAATATCCACTTATTTTGGGCTTGTTTTAAGTGGTACTCAAACAAAAGCCCAATCTAGTATATTTGATTATAGACCACTAAAGCTTTTACATTTTCATGGCCCAACCCAATTTAAGTTATGATTTTTTATTTTTTTGTTTAAATAATGAAGGAACCGGAAGTCAACTGTATAGGTGTACTGCATAAATTTACATTCTCGTGTAATAACTTGCAACCCATACAAGAGACGCAAACCACAGTAGGCTAACAATACGATTTCCGATAAATGTCTTGTTGGTGTCACATATGGTGAAATATATTGAGTTATTTTATTCATATAAAATTGAAGCACATGTAATATTTTGTATTTTCATACATACCATATCTAAATTTTATTTTAATTTTGGAATCTCGAGATTTAAGTGAGAGCCCCTAAAATTTGATTGTCAACGAGCAGCCCATTATGCTTGATCGATCCACTTGATTAATAATGATGCACGCTTGGAACACAAAAAATATATATTTTAATTGTAATTAAATTATGGCATTAATCTTTTAATTAAAAAAAATAAAAAAGAAAATTGAGGATTGTAGGTGAAGTTTCTTTTTCAGCTTTAGAAAAGAAGATCATGTGTATATCATGTATGTCATCATGGTTTAGTATTATTATATATAGTTCCTGCCTGATACACAAATCTCTGTCTGCAGCTCTTATTTTACCTGCAAACTCACACAAAAGATCATATTCCCACGTGATTTTCATGATTTTTCTGGTTCTCTCAATCACCTTAATGCACCGCCACATCTTGTTCATCAATCAAAAGTAGTTGTACACAACTATATATATATACATATATATATATATATCAGTGTTCTAAAAATCGGCCGAGGCGGCCGATTAATCGGTCTCCGAGGCGGAGGCGGTCCAAAACCTTTACGATTTTAGTGTAAAGGTTTGAAAAATCGGTTTTTTGCCTGTGAGGCGGTTTTAGGCGGTTTTAGGCGGTCAAACCTTTAAGGCGGGTCAAACTCGGTGGCAAAAATCGGTTTTTTTTTTTTTTTTTTTTTATAATTCAAAATAAAAGTTGGATTTTAATAAAAGAAAATATGAGTTTATGCCTTATTTTATTTATGTTAATTGTTATTGTTAAAAAACTAATGATGTATGCTAGGAATGTTCAAGAATAAATGTTAATTCAAAAATTTTGTTTTTTTATTTATATTTTATAAGGATATTTATGTATTATGATCTTATAATTATTAAACTTTTATTATGTTATTAGGATATATACATGATGGAGATATAACTATGTTTAAATATCTTTTTATATATGTTTGGAGTATTTATAAATAATATTTAGAAATATATTATATTAAATTTTAAAAACCGATTTGTTTCCGATTTGTTACCGATTAATCACCGCCGCACCGATTAATCGTGAGTCGGTGCCTGACCGACTCGGACCCGATTACCGCCTTTTACAACCTTGATATATATATATATATATATATATATATATATATATATATATATATATATATATATATATATATATATATATATATATATATATATATATATATATATATATATATATATATATATATATATATATATATATATATATATATATATATATATATATATATATATATATATATATATCTCTCTATCTCTGTATCTCTCTCTCTCTGTCTCTCTCTCTGTCTCTCTCTCTCTCACACACTCTCACATATATAGAGATATATACAAATATATATCTATATCTCTCTTTCTATCTATATATATATATATATATATATATATATATATATATATATATATATATATATATATATATAGAG